TTTTGGGGTCAGCTTATCAGGTGATTATCTTCAAAGCAGGACAGTGTGCTTGCAGAAACATCTGCTTAATCCCTATTTTAAGAATAACTATTGACTGGCCTTTTACTATCACTATGAGCAATTGTAAAGATTTAACTGATGGGACCCAGTGCTGGTGGTTTTAGCACAATCCTAGGAGGGAGGTGGGGAAGAATGACAGGCACCTCAAAGGATGGAGTCAGGGCTTAGCACTCAGCTCTTGGCTAGTAGAGAGAAGCCCACGGCAGGTTCCAGGCCCATTATCTTCCACTAACTTCCATTCACGAGCTCAATGACGCACTGCATCGGTCTGGCCTCAGCCCCGCATACATGGAGGGAGGCTCTGGACTTCAAGGTGCATTTGGCAGAGCTCTCATGTTGCATGGAGTTGCTTGAAGAGTCTCTGAGGGAAGAGGGCAGCTGAGCAAGGGGGATGCCTGTGGCCCCTTGGTTTTGCTTCAGTACAGTGGCTTTCATGGACTGCTTTGTTCAAAGGATGGCACATGTGGCTTAACAAAAGTTTGAGGACCAGTGACCCCTAGGTCCCTTCTATTTCTAAAATTTGGAATGTTTGATTCCTTTTAAATAATCACACAAAGGGTCCTTGAAGCCCTGTTTCTAGTCATTCAGCTTTGTGGCTCAATCATGGATGCATTTTGGTAAGAGTGATTGAGAATTCTGTACCCCACCCCATCCTCAGCAGTCTTAAGATGGGCAGAGGGAAGGTAGAACAACATCCACCCAATACTCCTGCACCTCGGGCCCAGATTTAGCCAGGCCTCTCTGAGGGTGTGGTCCCCTCCCCGGGGCTGAGAATCAGTCCACAAGGAACCATTGCCTTTGAAGGGAGTGGGGATGCCTCCGGGAACACTGTGATTTTCTTTCCCATCATGTGGTCTAGCTGTCAGTCAAGATGGTGGTCATGTGACCCGTGCTGGCCAATCACAGCTCTCCTGAGGGAGGGCTGCAGGGATGAACTGATTCAGAGCTGGGTCACTCTGAGGACAGGTCCTTGACTCCTGCTACTTAGATTCCTGAGACTGCCCTGGTTTCCGTCTTTCCTGAGGTCTGGTGGTTTTTTTGTATTTTACAAATTACCCAGGTCTTTCTGAATCCTCCACCGTTTTCTGTTGCTGGAAAGATTCAGGCTTCCCTTTCCACCATTTCTCTTACAAAAGGCTTCACAGGCTTGTGAAATACTTCTGGGTATTTCAGAAGACCAGGCACCAGGATCTCCAAGGGGTCTGCCCACTTCCCCTGGGGTAGGAATGCCTCGATTTGCAGGAGTGCATCAGTCTGGGTCTGATCGTCCCGGGCTGGGTAGCGCACGCCTTCTGGAAGAAGAAACGCTACAGCTGAGTTTTCATTAGACCCTCCCTCACTGTCGTCCCTGGGTTGCAGGATGTGAGGACCCATCATTAAGGGCCCAGAATGGTAACCCCCTGAAGGCAGAGCTCTTTAAAGGTCAATGGCTAATTAATTAAACACATGAATGAGCTCAGAAGCTAAGTCCCATAGTTAGATTTCATATTCTTGTAGTTTGGACAGTTCAGTGTCCTGGATCTGGAAAAATGTTACCCTTTTTGTAATTTGGTTCATTCTTGTATTTCTGATTTAAAACAACCCCAAAAACTTCAGACCATGTGTAGATTTATTGAAGGGAGCGGTTTTCCCAGAAGCTCTAGCTTCTCCCAGTGGACAGCGGTGCTGGTGGCAGCAGGGGCCCGGTGCTAGGGCCAGGAATCAGGAGAAGCCTTGGAGAGAGTAGACAGGAGAGTCCAGGGACCGGGGTGAGGAACGACTTTGGACACCAGTGTCCTTCCCCGTTCTGTCGAGGGTTCCTTACCTGGGGATTCACCCTGGAGCAGAAACCTGGAGGAGCACTGAGGAGGAACAAGATCTTCCATTGCCGAAAATTGCTCCCACAGAGCCGTGCCATGAAGTATGGCAGCCACCAGCCGCACGTGGCTGTGGAGCACCTGCAATGTGGGGAGTTCGAATTGGGATGTGTAATGAGTGTAAAATACACAACAGTTTCAAAAACCTGATCTGAAAACAAGAATGGAAAATATCTCACCACTAACTTATTGATTACATGATGACATGATAATATTTTGGGTATACTGGGTAAAATAAAATATATTATTAAAATTAATTTCACCTGTTTCTTTTTATTTTATTTAATGTGGCTACTTCTAGAAAGTTTAAAATTGGCCAGGCACGGTGGCTCATGCCTGTAATCCCAGCACTTTGGGAGGCCGAGGTGGTTGGATCACCTGAGGTCAGGAGTTCAAGACCAGCCTGGCCAACATGGTGAGACACGATTTCTGCTAAAAATACAAAAATTAGCTGGGCGTGGCGGTGCACACCTGTAGTCCCAGCTACTTGAGAGGCTGAGGCAGGAGGAAACGCAAAAGGAGATGTTTTGTTTGTTTGTTTTGTTAGTTCATGTCTTTTATCAGCTCATACAGTTCCTTGTCTTCTGCTTTGTTGAAGCAGTAAGTCAGACAACATTTGCCACAATAATGTCTGTCAAAGTGGCTTGCCATAAACGCTCCAGCACCACATTCCTCAGAAGGGCACTCTTGATGAAGGTGACTAATTTTGCCATTCTCATCCACCTTAATATTTTTAATATTATAATAATTAATAATAATATTTCAGGACAGCCAGCTTAGTCTTCTTTCTCTTGTGCTTACTCTTCTTGGGGTGGTGTTAAGACTTCTTCCTTTTCTTAGCACCACCACGAAGTGTCAACACAAGATGAAGAGTAGACTCCTTTTGAATGTGTAGTCAGACAAAGTACATCCATCCTCCAGTTGCTTTTGCTAGCAAAGATCAGTCTTTGCCCATCAGGAGGAATTCCTTCCTTATCCTGGATCTTGGCCTTTACATTTTCTGTCGTATCTGAGGGTTCAACCTCGAGGGTGATGGTCTTCCCTGTAAGGGTTTTCGTGAAAATCTGCATTTTGGTGGCGGCTTCACTACAGATGGCTGATTGAAAAGGAAGGAAATGTTTTAAGATATATTCCTAAGGGTTGCACATTAACTAATTTGATCTTATACAACTCTCAAGTTCTGCAAGATAAAATCTTCAGTTCTCTTGGATAGATAAAAAAGCTTGAGAAGTTTGAGTTGGATGAGGGTTGGCCACTCCCTTACCATCTTGCTAATGCTCAGACCAAATTCACACAGAGAGAGATTTGTTAAATATTAACATTTATTGTGATGCAGGCCCCCAGGGTCCACACAACCTTCTGTGTAGGCTCCATGAAGTCTCAGCTCTGGTGTCTTAGGTGCTAAGAGAACACTTTGCATGGAAAGCTCATTCAAGGCAGAGGCTACAATAGAGTCAGAATTTCAGGATCCTTCTTGTCAGCATCAGACAATCAGAAATCTTGCTACACCAGTGGTCTTTCACAAGAGCAACTGAGGAACCAAGTGCCTTTTATATTTATTTATTTATTTATCTATTTCAAGATAGAGTTTTACTCTTGTTGCGCAGACTGGAGTGCAATGGCGTGATCTTGGCCCACTGCAACCTCTGCCTCCCAGGTTCAAGCGATTCTCCTGCCCCAGCCTCCTGAGTAGCTGGTGTTACAGGCATGTGCCACCACACCTGGCTAATTTTGTATTTTTAGTAGAGATAGAGTTTCTCCATGTTGGTCAGGCTGGTCTCGACCTCCTGACCTCCGGTGATCCACCTGCCTCAGCCTCCCAAAGTGCTGGGATTACAGGCGTAAACCACTGCGCCTGGCCCCAAGTGCCTTTCTTAAGAGAACAGTCTCAAGGCCTTGCCAAAACTGAAACCCTAGTAGCACAAGGGTGGGGAGTGTCTATGCATCTCATGGCCAGTCCACATATCGTGACTGTCATAACTCTGTTCATGCGAGCATGGACAGTGTCTCTTACATATTTTAGCCAAACCACATGTCCCCCTTGATTAATGAGAGCCCATTGCTAATATTCATTATTTTATTAGCAAGTCACTAATAAGTCAGTAAAAATCCATTTCCCAAGGCCTCAGGTGTTGGCAGGTGTGCATGGCAGAGGTATCTTGGGAGAGTGGGGAATCCTGATGAATCCAAGTAATGCTCACCTGTAATATCACACTGAAGATGCCGAAGTATATAAGTCATTTCTGGACATCGTAGCACAATCTTATTAAGAGCATTAAGAATTCTTTCATACCTATTTGGTATATTCAAACTAGATCAATGAGGTAAGAGCCAGTGAATTATCAGAAAGTTTCCTGAGAAAATTCAACCTTTTGTGATCAGTGTAGTTTCCAACCTTAGAGGAACAAATGCTATTCACAAAACAGTCATTCTAAAAAATGCATTTTTGTATTAAAGATGCATCTTCTCAGGGTAAATATTAACAGTCCTTGGGAGAAAACTACTAGAATACAGATTTCAGGATTTAAGGGAAAACTCTTTCTTTCAGTCTTAGAAACCCAACTCACTGATGATGACATATAGAACAAATACAGAGGTTACTTAAATATTAACTTTATTTGGTATGTAAATATACCTAGTGCTCCGATCTTTCTAGATCAAGGTTACTTAACCCTGGCCGTATTGACCCTTTAGGCAGGGGAATTCCTTGTGTGCAGGGTTGTGGGGGGGATGCTGTCCTGTGTATTGTAGGGTATTTAGTAGCATCCCTGGCCTCTACCCACTAGTTGCCAATAGAAGGACCCTACCACTAAAGTGGTGACAACTAAAAATGTCTCTAGACACTGCCAAATGTCCCCCTGGGGACAAAATCACCCTCTGTTGAGAACTGCTGTTCTAGAACAGGTCCAATGGGCTAAGCCATTGCCTTGCTAGAATGCGTAATCTCAGATCCCTCCCAGACCTACTGAATCAGAGTCTGCATTTCAGTAAGCTCCCAGGTGGTCTGTGTGCTCATATACCCGGCTAGCTTTACCCCTACGCTCCATGGTGCCTGTGGCCAGGGATATGTGGTTCTCATTGCAGGAAGCTGATGAAGCCTTGCTGCATAACCTGCGCCTTCAGCTGGAAGCCCAATTTTTGCAAGACGATATCAGTGCGGCGAAGGACAGGCACAAGAAGGTAACCATGACCCCTTGAAGCCCTTCCTCTAGAAAACCCAGTTTGGGTTTGATCAGGTAAGCCCAGGGCACTGTGGCTGAAAACAGACTGCTAGAGAGTGGTATACCTTTGTACATTTTCCTTCGAACCAAATAGGGGTGAATTGGTCACTGTACAGTGCTTAATGAGCCAGACCTGCTTTGAACAGTGGGCAGTAGTGGGTGTGGTTTGAGGGCCGTGGTGTTGCGAACCAGTATCTATATTGTACAGTATAATTTACAAAGTGATTTTATATAGATCCGTCTTCATTAAGCGACAGTCCATCAACTGTTTCTGCTCAGAAGATACATTAAAAAGTCTTGTTTCGGCCGGGCACGGTGGCTCACGCCTGTAATCCCAGCACTTTGGGAGGCCTAGGCGGGCGGATCACAATCAGGAGCTCGAGATCACGGTGAAACCCCGTCTCTACTAAAAATACAAAAAATTAGCCGGGCACGGTGGCGGGCGCCTTAGTCTCAGCTACTCAGGAGGCTGAGGCAGGAGAATGACGTGAACCTGGGAGGCGGAGCTTGCAGTAAGCCGAGATCGCGCCACTGCACTCCAGCCTGGGGGACAGAGCGAGACTCCATCTCAAAAAAAAAAAAAGACTTGTTTTTCTCTCTGCCTCTGAACCCGTTAATTGCAGGAGCACATTATTCAGGAGCTTCCTCTCCTGCAGTGCTCAGATTCCCCCAGCCTCCAACAGTTCCTCACAGGCCTGACTGTGGCGGGCCCTGGCATAATTGAAAGATCAGATCTTGCAGCTGTTTGACCATGGGTGAGTGGCCTAACCTCTCTGAGCTGCTTTTTCATCTTCAAAATGCAAATGCAGGCTCTCCTTCCCAGCAGTGGTGTGGGTGAAATAGTGTAGCAGACCTGTGGGTGCCTCAGGGCTTCCCTCTTCAGAGACTCTGGCCTCCTCCCACTGCCATCCCTGCAGCTTTGCCTGAGGACTTTCTCCAAGCAGCTGGAGGCTGCTCCACCTGTAGTGGGGAGTTGAGGAACTCCCGTCCCCAGGAGCAGGGAGCAGCCTCAACTGGAACTGATGGGAGTTGGTGTATAAACACCCCAGCTCCCTCTCGCCTTTGTAGACCAACTCTGAGGCTTTTGTTCTGCACTGGCACCCAGAGATCCTCACCAGGATTGAGCTCCAGGTGCTCACAGTGGTGACTCATTGGTAACAGCCCTCACTGACCGCCCTCCCTTCCTGCCTCACTTTCCCACTCCATCCATCATGTTTCCTGGCATCATTGCCCAGTCAACTGTTTATACTCAGATCCCTCTCCCAGAGTCTGCTTCTGCGGAAACCCAAACTAAGACAATGTGGGAACATGGGTACAACCTGGAGCTTGGCAAGTGCTCAGTGAACCTCCAGTTCCCTTCCTACCTCAGTGTGTACCTGCATCCGTACACCAGCCCTGTCTGCTCCAATCAGGGTCCTTCTCACTTTCCATTAGGCCTAGCCATTTCCTCCTCCCCACCCATCTCCTTGCTTCTGCTCTACTTGATGGAATCCTTGGAACAGTGCCTGGGGCAGTTTTGAAGCAGCTCAAAGAATTCTTCCAGGCCATTTAGGATGATATTGATGATGATGATGGTGATGATGATAGCTCACACTGTGAGGCTCCCCTGCAGTATCTCACCGGATCCCAAGAACAGCCTTGTGAAATAGTGCTCAGGTCAGGCTCCCTATAAGCAGAGCTCTAAGTAGTGATTTTTTGTCACTGATGTCTTAGTGGAGGGCTCTGAGGAGAAAGGGAGGAAAGGGGCAAGACAGGGCAGGGAGCAGAGCAAGGATGTGTCCTCAACTGGAGTCTAGCTGTGGCGTTCTCATGATCCCATGGGAAGCTCTGTGAATTACACCACAGCCGGGTCCCTCAAGGAGTCGAGAGAGTTGGTCTTTTGTACTCCCGTGCCATCAGTCATTGGCCTGGGTTGGGGATGAGGCAGGGCCTGGTGGCTTCCTAGACAAGATGACCATTTGTTGACCAAGGGCTGCTTTCTGCAGAGGGCTGTGTCATCTGTTGTTACTCACAGAGCTTGGGATAGGGGCACTGGCTGGTAAAGGGGATCAGGCATCCCTACATATAGTTATCCCTGTTTTATAGAAGAACTTGCATTTTAGGAGGTTTAAATAGCTTGCCTGAGGTCACACATAGCCAGTAAGTCTTTTAGTCCAGGCCTGATTGACCAAAGCCCATTCTTTGAAACACTGCTGGTGTTGGGAAGGGTCCTTTGTGCCCTCCAGGGCCTTTTAACTTATTTATTTTTGACATGGGGTCTCATTCTATCACTCAGGCTGGAGTACAGTGGGGTGATCACAGCTTGCTGCAGCCTCCACCCACCCCCAGGTTCAAGTGATCCTCCTACCTCAGCCTCCTAAGTAGCTGGGACCACAGGTGCACACCACAACACATAGCTAATTTTAAAATTTTTTGTAGAAATGAGGTCCTACTATGTTGCCCAGGCTGGTCTCCAACTCCTGGGCTCAAGCAATCCACTGGCCTTGGCCTCCCAAAGTGCTGGGATTACAGGTGTGAGCCACCATGTCTGGTGAGGGCTGTTTTTTTCCTCTGTTTTTTGTGCCTCTGCCACCCAGGGCTTTGTGAAGACCAATGCACCAATGTAGCTGAAGAGAAATGGTGACATAAAGCAAGCCTTAGTTTATTCATCTGCCCCATTGTTCTTGTGAAGTTTAAAGGAGACTGAGGGGCCAGGAATGAGCATGGTGCACATGTGGGCAGGCCCACTGATGGCAGCAGATGCATCAGTCTCTTCTTCCTCCTGAACCTGGTCATGGTCTGTCCCGTATGTGATGATGCAGCATATGGAAGTGTCCATTCCTGTGCTCATCTAGTACTAGAAGGAAAAACCAGCACAGCTCAACTTCTAACGAGAATGCTTTCCCTCCCCTAACAGAATCTTCTGGAAGTTCAGACCTATATCAGCATCCTGCAGCAGATCATCCACACCACTCCTCCAGCATCCATTGTGACGAGTGGGATGAGGGAGGTAAGAATTGGAGCAGGAAAAGGCAAACCAGCCCTGGCGGGAAGCTGTATCTGCAGACTCCCAGGGAAGGGCTCACAGGTTGGACTGTGAGGGTGGCCACCAGGGTCCACTCCCCACTCCTGCTTTGTATCCTCATCTGAAGCTTGTTCTTCTGATATTTTTCTTGTACTGTAAATGCCAATATTTAGACACATGAGGATGTAAACTGCGTCCTTGACCATTTTCTTCGGTATTTTCTCTTGAGAATTACGAGCTGTTCTTCCTTGCATACTTTATAAGAAATGACCAAGCTGCTTTCCAAAGCCATGTGCCATTGTTGCATCTCCACCCACAATGCGTGAGGGTTTCTGTGGCTCCCTGTCCTTGTCAGCACTTGGTATGTCAGCTTTTTAGTGTGTCTTTGCTCTTCTAATGGTGGTGGTTTTAATTTGCATCCCCTAATGACTAAGGAAGCTGAGCATCCTTTTGTGCACTTATCTGCCATCCGGATAGCTTCTTTGTGGAAGTATCTGCTGAAGCCTCTTGCCCATTTAAAAAATTGGTTTGTTTCCTTATTCTCCCTATCAATCTGTTCATGAATTTAAAATACAGAGAATCTCAGATAATTAGTGAATATATTTTCAAGACGGAGCTCTGCTAATGATTATGTGAGCCTGTGGCATGGAAACTAGTGGGAAAGGATAGAGATTGTTGAAGCCGATTTGTAAAAACTAAAGATTTGGATATGAAAAATTATTTCCGATATTATGTTCCAAATTCCTTCTTCATTTAGCTCTCTAGCTGCTCAACAGGATAGTAGTTTTTTTTCCTAATATGGTTTATGGAATTTTGTGATGCATAGCATGATATATATATAAATAGACTGGTGCCAAGTGAGGTGGCTCGTGCCTGTAATCCCAACTACGCAGGAGGCTGATGTGGGAGGATCACCTGAGGCTAGGAGTTCAAGAGCAGCCTGGACAACATAGAAAGACCCCATCTCTAAACAAACAAACAAACAAGAAACAAAAAAACCCCAAAACACTGGAAATGATGCAAATTAAAATAAAAATGTTACAGTGTCCCTTCTCCAGAGGTTGTGATAGGCTAGTACAGGGTTTGGTGGATTGGGCAAGAGATAAGGTTCTGGGTCTTTTTGCAAGGATGATCTAGGATGGTGGCTCTCAACCCTGGTGACACTTGCAATTGCCTAGATGTGTGCTCAGGCCATGCTCCGAGTCAATGAATGGGCTGCTCAGGAGGTGGGGCCTGCCCAGGAGCAGCATGCAGACAAGCTGCTGCAGAACCCATGGGCTGGGGTCACCAGCTACCTGAACTTTTTCATCTTAATTATTTTATACAAAGCTAAAGAAATCCCCAAATTTGCTTTAGAAGACACTTTTGAACCCTGCAAAGTATCATCTAAGAGACAGGAAAGTTACCTTTTTTGGCATTCATGAGGATAGTCTTGTCTGAATTGCCCACCAATTACCGTTTCAGGATCTTGTTGTCCTTATGGATGTAACCGAGGTTGCTACTAAGGCCTAAAAAAGCTTTTCCGGAAGTCTTAATTTTCTTTGCCAGAGATCCCTTTCCAGATATGTTATTTTTATTTTTTCAAACCCACTTTTGTCCTCTAACTCAAAGGTGTTTTACATCCGAGCATACCTTTTGAATTGTGTCGTCTATTCCCTTGTAATAAGATCCTTCTAAGTCGTAAGTACACAGACACTGGACTGACTTTGATGTCATCGATCAGCATCACCTGGGCTTGTGAGATGTGCAGAGTGTCCAGCCCAGCCTCAGACCCACTGAGACAGAATCTGCATCTTAGCCAGATCCTCAGGGACTCGTGGGCATACTCAGGCTAGAGAAGCACCAATTGAGAAAGCATCACATCTTTATGAGTCTTAGTTTAGCAATTCTATAGTCAAATTAGACAGTCACTTTCCTGTATGTCTGTGTCACTGCTGCAGCCACTTTGTAAGGTGTTTGAAGCAGAGGCTGCCTGCCATGCACGGGCTTGGACACAGAAACCCTCAGTGTAGACTTGGTGTTTAATTTTGCGTGGTTTCGAGTCAATGTGCTCTGTGTCAGAATGCATGGCTCTTGAGCAGTCAGGCCTTTGTGAAACAATTTGAATATTTTTGAATAAATATGGAAAGGCAGGTCAGGAGAGAGGCACCTGCTTGGCAAAGTGTGGAGAGGTTGGAGGATTTCCTTCCAGCCATTCCCTGGAGCGTCACTTCTCTTTCACCCATTGGGGCTGATGGCTCCTGCTTTGTGCTGCGCTGACATCGGAGCACAGCGTGTGGCTCGTGGCTCCAACCAACCTTCATTTTCTTAGAGAGTGTGCATTCCAGGTTTTCCTTTTCACAGAAGGGAAAACAGAGGCTTTGAGAGTCAAATGCCTTTTCTAGAGTCTCTTAGTAGATTCACGGCACAGCCAGGTCTAAGCTCTGGTCTCCTGGTACTTGGTCCCGGCGTTTCACACTCCCAAGGAGGTTCAGACTTTGAAGACAAAGCAAAAGCCATTGATGGCTGCGCTGTGGGCCTGGCTTAGTCTCCTCACGCTACTATAATAGGACACTATAGACGGGAGGGCCGACAGGCAGACATTTATTTCTCACTGTCCTGGGTGCTGGAAATCCAAGATCAAGGTGCCAGCAGAATTGGTGTCTGGAGAGGGCTCTCTTTCTGGCTTGAAGATGGCTGCCTTCTTGCTTTGTCTCATGTGACAGACAGACAGGGGGTGGGGGTGGGGGCTCTGATGTCTCTTCTTGTTCTTACAAAGACCCTAATCACATCATGGGGCCCCCCATCCTCATGACCTCATCTAACCCTAACACCTTCCAAAGGTCCCACCTCCTGAAACCTTCATCTTGGGAGTTAGGACTTCAACACAGAATTCAGGGGGACACGGATATTCCATCCATACCAGGGCCCCACACCTCCTCTGCCCTTTTCCTTTCTGCATGTCCTGTGAATCTGACTCTGGCCTTCTCTGTGCAGGAGAAGCTCCTGACGGAGCGGGAGGTGGCCGCTCTGCGGAGTCAGCTGGAGGAGGGCCGCGAGGTGCTCGCCCACCTGCAGGCGCAGAGAGTGGAGCTGCAGGCCCAGGTACGCTTGAGTCTGCCGCATGCGCATTGGGGCTTCCCACATGTTTTATGGAGGCGTTACACGCAGCACACGCATGCAGCTTGAGGAGCTGTCACATGCTGAACATATCGTATGTTCCTGGCAGAAATGGGGTTTTCGGAGTGGGTGACCAAGCGCTCTGCTCTGCCCTGGACTGAGGAATTTTCCAGGACAAGGGAGAGTCCTGAGCCAGTGAACACAGGCGTCACGCTCATTCCTGGCCCCTCAGAGGTGCCCCTTGGGACTCCTTTAAGTCATGCCCTCCCCTCCGAGGCTTAGGCTTAGGCTGCCCCAGTGTCTACATCATGCATTCATTTTGCCCAGGTCAAACTTTGTAAGAATAAGAAGAAACGGACACAGTAGGGATTTTTATCCTCCCCTTGTTCAAATCTGTGCTTCTGTTTTTCTTCTCGTGGTAACAGTTCTCCTTCGGAATTTGATTACAACGTGGAAAGAGTGGTTGTATCAGTGTTTGCTTCTAGTTAGAAACGTGTTGGTGGAAAGCTCACATTTTTACCCCCACTCCTTTTGGGTGAAGCTTAATTTGAAAACAAAACAGAAAAGCCCCACGCTGTCCTGTGGCCTGTGTCTTCTTGGCTACTTCCTGGCTCATCTTCCTTGGTTCCTTCCAGTTCTCTCTCTTTCTCGTTACCCTCCAGCAGGGCATTCCGTGGGGACGGCTGGGTTAAAATACTGCACCTTTGTATGGCTCCCTAACCACGTTTCCCAAACCAAAAAGTAAGTTGACATTTGGTTTAACAAGTACACGTGGGGACAAGAGAGCAAAACGTGTAAACATCGGATGCTTCAGAAAGCCCGGACCATTTGGACGTTATGTGTTACTCTGTCTCTGCCCTGCCAGGGCCCACAAAATGGGAAAAAATGTGAAGCCACAACTAGATGTTGTGCTTTTTATTGATTTCCAGTGCCCCCATGTCTGCTCAGGATTTCCTTTTGGGACCTTGGAGTTCACATCCTAATTCCCATCCCAGCACACACCACACAAAACTCACAGTGCAGCAGCTCTTAGGGGCTGCTGGAAGGCAAACCTGGGTCTGTGGTGGTCCCCTGAGCTGACGATCGCAGCAGGAGAAACCAAGTAAGGCCCTTAAAACTCTTCCTTCTTGCGAGAGAAACCCTGGCTCAGGGACCATGTGCGTCATCCTGGTGACTGGGGCGTGTGTGGTTTCTTCTGAGGCTCTGACAGGATAGAATAAGGGTTGTATGTGTTTGTGTATGTGGGGGGTGTGTGTGATATGTGTGGTATGTGTGATATATGTGGGATGCATATGTGAAGTGTGCAATGTGTGTGTCGTGTGTGTGTGTGTGTGTGTGTGTGCTGTGTATGTGAATAGGGATATGGATACAAGCCCAGTCACGGTCCTAGAGACCAGTGTTTTCCAAACGACTAGTGACAACTCATTTTTGGATGTAAAACGAATTCAGTAGAATTGATTGGCATGTAAAAGGAAGTCAACAAAATGCTAGACTAAAATATAATAAGAAAAACAGAGTGTACAGCAAGCCAAAGGGAAGATTTGTTTTGTGAAGCCCTCGTTTTATCTCTACATCCATATGGATATGTTGAAATACACACACATACATCTATCTGATGTGTATGGCTTGCAACGAGAAATGTGGTTTTTCCTGGGGCGGTGGTGTTAAAGTTGAAAACCACTGCCCTAGAGATACTGAGAAAGATGAAGGACCCCAGCCTAGATGGCAAATTCCAGTTCTAGGACAAAAAGAATTTTCCTCTATGTACATGTATGTATTTGTTGAATATCAAAATAAGAAATTTCACAACAGATTAACCTGGTTTCTGAGAACATGAAATGAAACTGCTGGTTGGCCACCTGTTTCTGTTCTTAGTGGCTGCAGGAGGGCTTCCTGGCTTTTCTCTGCTGCCCTCGTCTCTAAAGTAGGGTCTCAAGCGTCTCTTCTGTGCTGCCTCCTCCACTGCCACCCTTGGCAGTCTGATGGAGACCCCTTCTCAGAAAAATGATGGTAAAGGCGTAAAATAAAGTACAGATAATTTAAAGGAACCCAGGCTGGGCGTGGTGGCTCATGCCTGTAATGCCAGCACTTTGGGAGGCCAAGGTGAATGGACTGATTGAATCCAGGAATTTGAGACCAGCCTGGGCTGATGAAACCCCATCTCTACAAAAAATACAAAAATTAGCTGGGCGTGGTGGTGCATGCCTGTGGTTCCAGCTACTGAGGAGGCTGAGGTGGGAGAATTGCCTGAGCCTGGGGAGGTTGACGCTGCAGTGAGCTGACATTGAGCCACTGCACTCCAGCCTGGGTAACAGAGTGAGACTCCGTCTCAAAAAAAAAAAAAAAAAAAAAAAAAGAAAAGAAACTAACTGTATTTAAACAGTTAACAAAATATTACTGAATCATTTTATATAAAATGACAGATGTGCTTATGCTCAGTAACAAGCTGTAGCATAGGGCTGATGAAACAGGACTGTGTCCGTTTTCTGCTGTCTTGATGAGTCACCACTAACAGGAGCTTGGAACAGCACCTGTGTCATCGCAGTTGTGTAGGTGGGAAGTCTGGGCGGGTCCTATCGGTTTCTCTGCTCTGGGTCTCAAAAGGTAGAAAGAAGGATGTTGGCCAGCCTGGGCCCTTGTCTGAAGGCTCTTGGGGGAGAATTTGCTTCCAGTCTCATTCAAGTTCTTGGCAGGAGTGAGGACCCTCCTTCTTTTCTGGCTGCTGGCCAGGAGTGGGTATCAGGGCTGCCCATGCTCTTTGGCTTCAGGCCCCTCCATGTTCAAAGCCGGCAGCGAGCTCTGAACCCTCCTCCTGCCTCTCATCTAATTGAGTTGGACTTATGCGTTTCTCTGACTTCTGTTTTTAGGGCTCCTGTGATTGGGGATAATTTTGAATAAACTCCTTTCTTTAAAAAAGGGTAACTGATTAAGAACCTTAATTATATCTGCAAAGTCCCTTTTTGCCATGTAACATATCCAAGGGTGTAGCACCAAGGGGAAACGGTCATGGGGGCCAAAATTCTGCCTCCTTAGCTCTGATGAAAACCCAGACGTGGCTGGGCGCGCCCGGGAGCTCCTGACTCAGTGGGTCTGGGGAGTTGCTCGGGACGCTGCATGTTCAGGTGTTCCGGGGATGGTGCTGCTGCCGGTCCAGGAGCCACACTGAGAACCACAGGGTAGGGGCGGGTCCCAGGGAGGGGGCGAATGTTCCACCCCGTCCCCCTGTGTCCCAGGCTTGGGCCTCATTTCCAATGTTTGTGGCTGGGTTTTTGCTGGTTTTAAAGGTTTTAGTGGCTTCCTAATGTAGCAGCTAAGCTAGAACTGAAGGAAGATGTTGACCGCACACCTCTGGGCAGGGCCCGCACTGTGGCCGGAACTCGGTGGAGGGCGGGCCGAGGGAGAGCATCTGGTAGCCCCAGGGCCTGGCAGCGGGTTCCGCCTATGGTTAGGGCGTTCGAAGCTTCCCGAACTCTCCACAGCAGGGGTCCTCAGGGTGAGGTCCCCGTCCCAGCAGCGGCGGCACCACCTGGGAACTTGTCAGAAATGCAAATTCACAGGCACCCCAGACCATTGACCCAGGAGCTCTGGGGCGGGCCGGTGCGCCTTGTTTTCACAAGACCTCCGCTTGGCTCTGCGGGCTCGGTCTGGGAGAGGCTGGGCGGAGGATGGGAGAACGGTGCCTGGGCTTGGAGCTGGAAGCCTCTCCTTCAAGTAAGTGCACATATACCCCTAAGAGCCCTGGAGGAAGCACTTCGGACAGGTGGAGAGGAAAGGACAGGTAATTCTAGTTCCCTAAATTGCGTGGACTGAGAATTTCTGTGACAGGGAAGTAAAGAAAGTCACTTTTTAAAATTGCAAAGTGGGAGCCGCCCAGGTCTCATTTCTCATTAAAGTCACTTAGCACCATCTAGTGGTTTAGTTTGTGTAAGACCGTGTGTAACGCGTTTCCTTTAAAAAAAAAAAAAAAAAAGAAGACCTTGCACCCAAAGTTGTCTGGGGTCCCAAGGACTGAGGTGGGAGCTCGCCCCTCCAGATGGGGCTCGCGTCAGGCTCCTGCCTGTGTCCTGCCCTCAGCAGCTCACAGCCCAGTGGGGAGACAGATATAAACCAGGCAATCTAACGGTCCAGGCAGAAATAGCAGTCACCTGGCTCCAGATAAAGTTCAAGTTGCCACATGGCTCCACCCTTGGAGGAACCGTGGGTCAACCTCTCTTCTCTTCGTCTCCTGACCCCCCCTGCAGTTTCTGGGACCTGCCCCTTTGCTCATTCCTTCTCTCCTTTCTGGAAGTCCCTTTCCTTCCTCGGTTCCCAGGACCGGTCCTGCCTCCTCCTGGAAGCCTCTTTCTCCCTCCGAGATGCCCCGGGCGTCCCTCCCCTGCTGGCCTGCGACCTTCTAGAGGAGGGTCCGTGTCTCACTCTCCTTGACCAGGTTGGTGCTGGGTGGCAGTGGATGCCGTGCCACGGTGGCTGTCGTCACAGGCATCTCCATTCCTGTTGAGCTTCTGAGAGGGGCTCTTACTGGTTTTCCTGAACCCCTTTCCTTCTGATGAAAGGTTTAAATTATGGAGCTATAAAAACCACATTGATATAGACAGCAGTCCAGTTTTATAAACCAAGTCATCACTTCACTGGACTCAGCAGAATCCCGTAGAGCCTCTGCTACCAGTGCAGGGTTGGAGGGCTCTGGGCCTCATGGTCACGTGGGAGATGGTGGCTGTGGGGGTGCCTAGGGCAGGAGCTCCTCCCACAGTGCTGCAGCAGAGAATCTCCAGCCTTTAAAACATGCAGCCTTCTTCAAACAAACACAAATGCACACCCAAGAAAACACCTCACCCATCCGCCCCCTACCACTACCACAAAAATAACAGTCACCACTTCATGAGATATAAAAAGATTGCACTCCACTTGTAGGGTAAAAAGATCATAGGTGACTTTCCTGGTCTCTCATTTCCCAGTTTGTGATGCTTTGTGATTCTATTTACAGTTCAAAACTTTGCTAAGTGAAAACCTGCAAGGAGAGGTCTCTGCATGGCTCACACTGACTTTCCCATGTCTTCAGAGAGAACAGGCTGGTGCTGGCCTGTTGCTGTGTGGGAATGGGGAGTTTGCAGAGGCCCTGGAGTGTGGGTGTGTGTGCATATGTGTGCGTGTGTGTGCATATGTGTACGTGTGTGTGTGCTTGCACATTGCTTGCCCGCAGCAGGGAGGAGGCTGAGGTGCGGGGTAGGGGTGGCCTGGTTCTGGGAGGTGTTTAAGACGTTGTACAGGTAGATTCGAATCCTGCTGTGGTATTTATGGGCAAGTCACTTTGCCAGTGTGCCTCAGTTTCCTCATCTGTAAAGTGGAAATATTGACAGCCCCTCCCTGATAAGGTTGTTGTGAGGTTGATGAGTTGGCCCAGCTTAGGACTTACCAGCACCAGCCACTACCCCGGCTCTGGGCTGGGGAACCCACCCCCAAAGGGGACGGCCGCCCCAGAGCTCCTGGGTCAGTGGTCTGGGGTACATTCTCTTCATATGTAATTTTTTCTTTTACTCTTTATTATGGAAGATTTCAAACATCGAAAAGTGACAGATTATAGGTGCTATGGCTCACACCTGTAATCCCAGTACTTTGGGAGGCCAAGGTGGGAGGATCACTTCAGCCCAGAAGTTCAAGACCAGCCTAGGCAACATAGTTAGACCTTGTCTCTACAAATTTTTTTTTCTTTTTTTTAAATTAGCTGGGCATGGTGGCATTCACCTGTGGTCTCAGCTGCTAAGGAGACAGAGGTGTGGGAATCGCTTGAGCCCAGGATATCGAGGCTTCAGTGAGCCCTGATGGCAGCACTGTACTCCAGCCTGGGCAACAGAGTGAGACCCTGTCTCAAAAAATAAAAGTGAGAATAGTCTGTCTCATGAGCCCTCCTGCCCCATCCCCTAACACATGGCCCCTCTATGTTCTCTACAGCCCCTCACACTTCCCTCACCATGTAATTCCAATGCTTCTTTAAGTTTTGGGCCTCAAAGGGGTCTTTTAAATCCCCATATTCCTTGGAGGTGTTTCCTAGAGTGTGTAAACACTCTGGTGTGGGTGAGATGTGGCTGCACCAGACGTTAGTGTGCGTGACTTGTATTTGCTATGACATGTGACCGTTTGAATCCAGATTTCTTGGGAGGAACAGAAACCGGATCACACTAGCTGAAACAGGAAGGGGACTCTTGTTTTATTCAGAAGTAATTTTAGATTTTTGAAAAGTTGCAAAAACAGCACAGTAGTTTCCAATATGTACCCCTCATCCAGCTTCCTCAAAACCACGGGCCGATGATAAAAACCTGGAAATTAACAATGATCCTGTCCTATTAATAGACTGCACTAAAATCTCACCAGTTGTTCCACTCGTGTTTTTTTTCTGGTCTAGATCCTACTCACATTTAGGTGTCATGTCTTGTTTGTCTCCGCCAGACTGGGATGGTCCCCAGTCTTTCTCTGTCTTTCATAACCGTGATGCTTTGGAAGAACCCAGGCCAGTGGCTTTGTGGCACGTCCCTCCTTTTGGGTTTCCCTGATGTTTTCTCAGGATTAGATGGAGGTTCTGCATTCTTGGCAAGACCCCCATGGAGTGACGCTGTGTCCTGAGTATTTCATCTTGTGGATGGTCCTCATACCAACCTGATCTCTTGGTTAAGGTGCTGTCTGCCAGGTTTCTGCACTGGAAAGGTACTTTTTTTTTTTCGAAGGAGCAGGGTATAAAAGGCAGGGCATGAAATCTGAGAGGAGGTGTGCATCAGGAATTAGGAACCAGGAACTGGGAGCTGAGGCTGCTGCTATCTGTCTCCTTTTCCTCCTCTTCCTTCTCTTGCCACGGCTGCCTAATTTCTGTTTGTCTTTGCCTTTTGGCTTCATTTCTCTTCCTCTCCAAATAATTACCTTTCTTAACTTTGCCATGCATATGAAAGCTCGCCATTCCAGAGCGGCAGCCTCAGACCTGTTCATGTGTCCCTGCAGTCTGGAACCTGCCACCAAACTCTGCGATTTCTGAGACCCCTTTCCAGATTCCTGGGAGAGAAGGCGTGTGACAGGCCAGCCTGGGTCAGGCCCACCCCTGGTCCTGTAACTCGGCACAGGAGAGTGGGGTCACTTTGTTGCTACCCTACCTGTGGATGGGTGGGGCTGACATCAGACGCAGGGATAACGTGGACTGGACAGACATCTCCCCAAAGTGCTTAGCATGTGTACCTTTTCTTCCCTTCCTCCTCCCTCCTGATGCAACAGATCTATGGCTGAACACCTGCTTTTTTTTTCTTTTCCTTTTTTTTTAGACAGAGTCTTGTTCTGTCACCCAGTCTGGAGTGCAGTGCAGTGGCACGATCTCGGCTCACTGCAACTTCCGCCTCCTGGCTTCAGGCGATTCTCGTACCTCAGCCTCCCAAGTAGCTGGGATTACAGGCACTGGCCACCACGCCTGGCTAATTTTTGTAGTTTTAGTAGAGATGGGGTTTCACCATGTTGACCAGGCTGGTCTTGAACTCCTGACCTCAAGTGATCTGCCTGCCTTGGCCTCCCAAAGTGCTGGGATTACAAGTGTGAGCCACCCGCACCCAGCCATCTTGCCAAACACCTTTGAAAGCTACATTTTGACTTAAGGAATTTCATGATCCAAGGGCATAAAGTGTATAAAGTGAACAATTGAGTTTTGACGGCAATGATCATCTTCCAGGTGTCCAGTAGGTACATTTAGGTCTGGATGTAGGAAGTGCCTGTTGTGGACATACCTGAAGTTGAATATAGATGCATGTCTCACCCCTTGTGACTCAAAGTGCGGCCCGTGGCCCGGGAGCGTCAACATCATGTGGGCGCTGGTGAGCAAGGCGGAGTCTCCAGCTCCCCAAACCTGCTGAGCCAGGCTCTTAACACCCTCAGGCGGCTCCAGTGCACACGGAGTCCAGAAGGGCTGCGCTAGGTAGAAGTGTGGTTTTGTTTGTTTTGTTTTTGAGGACCATGCGTGTCAAATTCTTTCCTACTCAAGAATGAGATTGGAAAAGAGTCATGACTACCTCGGTCTCTATTTTATAAACTTTTAACATTTTTTAAAGCTTCTTAACTCTTGTAATAACACTTAAGCACAAAAGAAAATATTGCAATCAAGAGATGTGGGAAATGTGAGCTGCAGGAGGCTGTGACTGGGGTAATGTGGCGTCACTGTCTTACCAGAAACATCTCGTTATAAGTAGGACTACACGCCAAAATAATGAGAAAAAGGGTAGTATTGTAAATACATAAACCAGTAACTTAGTTGTTTATTATCATCGTCAAGTATTATGTGTTGTACATAATTGCATGTGCTAGAAGTTTTTTATGCAACTGGCAGCACAGTCTGTTTACTGCGGCGTCCCCACAGACATGTGAGTGAACGTGTGGCTCCATGGCCCTAGGATGGTTGCAGTTGTCACTAGGCGACAGGAATTGTCCAGCTCCATTATACTCTTATGGGACCACCATCCTATATGCAGTCCATTGTTGAGTGCAGTACTGTTATGTGGCACACAACTGAGCATTTATGGGTCTTTACGTATCATCACAAGCTCTTACACTGAATATAAAACTATCTCTTTCTATTTTCCTGCCTTAATTTTTACTTGCTCTGATTAATGTATTTCTCTGACATTATTTTACGTGTACACAAATGCACACACACACCCCTTAGCTACCAAAACATAAATGTAACTCTGCCGATCCAAGCTCGGCAGAAAATCAAAGCACCGTAGTGACTGAGTGAGAACAAGGAAACTTTTCTCCCACTCAGTATTTCAATAAAAGTAGCATCTTATCTATTCAGTATGCTCTTCTTTTTCCTTATTTTTTGGCTATTGGATTTATGCTAATTCATTAAAGTCTGAAGAATGTACTTTATTTGAATTATTATTCCATGGATAGCAGTTTTTGTTTTTGTTTTTTCCTTTTAGACAGGGTCTCGCTCTGTTGCCCAGACTGGAGTGCAGTGGTGTGGTCTTGGCTCACTGCAGCCTCCACCTCCCAGGTTCAAGTGATTCTCCTGCCTCAGCCTCCCAAGTAGCTGAGATTATGGCGTGTGCCACCACACCTGGCTAATTTTTGTATCTTTGGTAGAGACGGGGTTTCACTAGGTTGACCAGGCTGATCTCAAACTCCTGACCTCAAGTGGTCTGCTGGCCTCAGCCTCCCAAAGTTCTAGGATTACAGGTGTGAGCCACCTGGCCTAGGTTTCATTTTATTTTACCTACAGGTGTGAGCCACCTGGCCTAGGTTTTGTTTTATTTTCTAGGTTTGTCTTCAGACTGCCTTTGGGGTGGGCCTCCTTATGGGTTAATTGCAGAGGGTACTGATATTAGTGCAAGAAGGGCTGGGTGCAGTGGCTCATGCCTGTAATTCCAGCATTTTGGGAGGCTGAGGCGGGAGGAGGAAGCCAGGAGTTTGAAACCAGCCTCGGCAACAAAGCGGGACCCTATCTCTACCAGAACAACAACAACAAAATTTAGCCCAGTGTGTTGGTGCTTGCCCATAGTCACAGCTATGAGGAGGCTGAGGTGGAAGGATCACTTTAGCCTGGGAGGTGGAGGATGCAGTGAGCCGTGATCACATCCCTGCATTCCAGCCTGGTGACAAAGTGAGATCCTCTATCAAAAAAAAAATGTGTAAGGACACAGGAGCTCAGTTTTCACATTGTTTTTTAGCTTAAGGATTCCAAAGTGATTCATGGCTAATCTCTAATGGGCAGAGAAACACACAAACAAAATAAAACATTCACTGAGTCCAGGTTCCTTTTCCTGGTGAGGTCTGTCTCTTAGGAGAGGAGGGGGATAGATTTTCTTACAGTGTGTCCTTGCCTGCAGACAGCAACTCTGGAACAAGCTATTAAAAGTGCCCATGAGTGTTATGACGATGAGATTCAGCTTTATAACGAGCAGATTGAGACCTTGCGCAAGGAGATTGAGGAGACAGAGCGGGTCCTGGAGAAGTCTTCTTACGACTGCCGGCAGCTGGCGGTCGCCCAGCAAACCCTGAAGAATGAGCTGGACCGGTATCATCGTATCATCGAGATTGAAGGCAACAGGTGAGAGTGTGCCCTCCCCATCCGGGCCACTTATTCCTTGCACAACTCTTTGTTGAGTGTCTATTATGTGCCAGGCACAGTTCTAGGAAAGTGGGCATGTGGCAGGGAAGGAAACACAACAATTCCTGACCCCATGGGTGCTGGAAAACTAATAGGGGAGACAGAGGATGAAGGTACCGCCAGTGCCGAGGAGGAAGTTCTAGCAGGGAGGAGGGCGGTGGCGATGGGGGCGATGGGAGAATGCTTGCAATTTTGAGTAGGGTGGTCAGAAAAGGCCTCACTGAGAAGCCAGCGTTTTGCTCATAGGCCTCTGGAGACATAAGTGTCCCAGCAGGTGGGATGCCCAGGAGTATTTAATGAGGTGCTGCAGGTGAGCTACCTGGCACAGAGCCTGGCACTCGAGGGCACTCAGAGGTGTTGGTGGTGCTCCTGCTGCCATCCTCATGATTCTTAGCACCTTACTGGGTCAGTTTGTGGCTGTCACTATGTGGCTGTCTGGTCTCCTCCATAATGGAGCTGTGACTTGATCCCTACTCACTTTAAGACAGCTGGGAAATTATGTCTTTCTCTCCAGCTATGTCCGTGTTCATAGCTACAGTGATTTTCCCGGAGAACAGGCTGGGAATTAATTTGTGATTCTTCACTCCAGGCTTGCTAAATTCCTGGGTTTCGATTGAATGAAAAGAGAAGCCCTCCACAACTGAGGTCCCCACCAGGAGCAGCTCCTCCCTTCGCCCTGGGTGCTCTGTCTTGGCTGTGCGCAGACGAATGCCTGGCAGGAGAAGCAGGATTTTATTTTTCTTTCTCCAGTGCTGCTCAGTGTATCTGGCATGATTCCACATGATATTTATGTCACAGTGAACACTTTATGCACACATCTGCAAGAATAAGTCTGGAATTGGTGTTTCAATGACTTTGTAAACATTCTTGTTTTGAGACAGGGCTTCACAGAAAGCTAACTGGATACCTCTTTTATTTATCTATAAGTTCTGATTTTGGTCTAATTTTAAACTGATAGAAATGTTGCAAGAATAGAACAAGGAACTCCTGAATACTCCAGATTCACCAATTGTTTACATTTTATTTCAATTGCTTTTATCATTTTTCTCTATTTATATATGATGTGTGTGTGTGTGTGTGTGTATATATATATATATATCTTAAGTTGGAGATATCATACCATTTGCCCTGAATACTTCAGCCTGAGTTGGCCACTCTTAATTTAAAAAATCAAAAATGCAAATCAAAAGGCAAAAAAACAAAATGGCAAAAACATCGAAAAGGCACTGTCTCATGGAGAAGTGGCATTTTTAGGTTATAAGCAATCCCTACTTTATACTTTTTTATAGGTATGTTTCACAGTTTATGACTCTTGAGCTCAAAGAAATGATTATCTCCTTTATGTCCTCATCCAGTGTATAAATGTGTGTATGGCTGTCTGTTTAAAACAGTATCTAATTTGTGAGCAATTTGGTCTAGAGAAAGCTTTTTTTTTTCGTTTTTGCTCAACATTAGTGAGAGTCGCTCTTGCCCCTGACCATCTGTTTGGCTTGTTTTTTCTGGTTCTTTCTGACAGGCTGAGCTCTGCCTTCATTGAAACTCCCATTCCCCTGTTCACCCAGAGCCATGGAGTCTCTGTCAGCACTGGATCCGGTGGGAAAGGTAACGCTCCCCAACCCTGGGCCTCTGTTTTTTTCTGTCTTGAAAACAATCAAGCAGCTCTCTTCCTGACTTTAACATTCATGCTTGCTTCAGATCCATCTGGAAATTAAATGCTTTTATGTGAGGGAGGACTCCTTCCCACCCTTTGCCCTCTATGGCTTGCTAAGTGATTGAGCTGAGAAGTTCATAAGGAGAAAAATCGACTGAGGGGCTAGGCTACCTTGGGCATGCCATCCCTAACGTGAGGCATTTATTTTGTGTTTTCATATTTGTTTAATGGTTTGACAGCAATAATTTTTGCAACACAAAGCATTTAATTGGGCGAAAAGTACAACTCAATATTCACTTCTTGCTCCCTCCCCTCGGCAGTAAGTGAACACCGGATCGTATCCCACCGCCTCCCCACATTGAATCAACGGGTTTGTGCCAACGCGTGTAACGTGGTGTCCAGTGCACAGTAGCTGCTCAGTCATAGCTCATTCTCCCTTCCCTCAAACCAGGCAGAAACAGCTTGGCTGGTAAATGTGGCATCTGCCTTCAACATTTGGTCTGTGAGACCTCACCTCACATTGAAATCTCCCAGTTCTGAACAAGCCCAGCATTTGGGAAGAAAGGAGAAGGTGATACTATGGATGCTCATGCATATAGGGCCTTGAAATCCTTATTTCCAGACAGCTCAGAGGCCTTTATGGAAGTGGCATTCCAGAGTCAACGTGGTTGGAAGGGGAGTGGCCCTGCAGCCGGATGCCCAGGGCCAGGTCTGCGGGTGCACAGCCCTGCCTGGGGCTTGCTCTCAGAAGGGTCCCAGCTTGGCTGAATGCTCTGCTAATGCTGTTCTGAAATTCTTAATAATTTGGATTAAGGGGTCTCGTGAGTTTTTTTGGCACCGGGCCCTGAGATTCTGTGCAGTCCTGTAAGCACCTCCTCCTCGCATACCAGCTCCCAGCAGTTTTCCTGTGCCCTGTCCCTCTCTGCATCCCCTGCACCTGTGGCTTTGTGACCCACATCTGCTGTTGCCGGCTCACCTGGCTCACTCTCTGTTGTGAATCAGCCGTGCTTGATGTCGGTGCTTGGTCTGTCTTGCCCTGTGGTTACCAGTGGGAAGGGATGCAGAGGATGACTTTTGGGCTAAAAAAGTTCAAAATTCACTGTGTGGGTGGAGCCGGGAAGCCTCATAAATTATACCAGGTGAGAGTTTTGTGTGTCTTCTCCAACTTTTAGTTTTTCCTTTCAGCTAGTCTGGAAGCAGGAGGGTGGACTTGGGGCAGGGGATTCCTGTCATTTCTGAATTTCATAGCATCGCTTCCTCTCTTGGCCTGGGAGGAAGGGGAGGCTGATCGCAGCTGGGTGGCATTTATTTAGCTTGAGCTAAATATGGAATGAGGTAGATCCACCGTGTACGGGTTCCATTCCCAGACCCAAGGCCATCTGAGCATGTCAGAAGCCCCCAGGTAGCTCTGTCGTCTCTCTTTTGAGGAAGTCAGAGGAGAGAATAACTTTGAGGAATGGGCTTCCATGGATCCAAGTGTCTGCTGCGAGCTCAGTGGGGCTGCAGTGGGAACAGGGGCTAGGGCTCCCACTGAGTGTCAGGACAATGGCCTTGAGTGCCTTGGTAGGTTTTGCCTGATGTGGTGGTGAACTGTGGGTGTCAGAACAGGGAGCACCTTCCCTCTGAAAGCCTAAAGGCATCCAGTGACTTGTCCAGAGTCGCCCAGCTGTACCTCAGCCTGGGCCATGGAGCAGCAAAGCCAAGGCCTTTCTTCCATTGCTTCTGCTCCAGATGAAGGAAGCCCCACCCTAGTATAAAAAGCATTTGTTTCCAAGAGAGTTAGCCTGTTTTCCAACCAGCATGTTTTCTTTCTCTCTCAATAACAATTATACTTGAATTTCTGCCTGTGTGTTTCTCCAGATCTTACCAGGGCTCTGCAGGATATAACAGCAGCAAAACCAAGACAAAAAGGCCTCCCCAAGAATGTTCCAAGGAGGAAGGAGATTATAGCAAAAGACAAAACCAACGGAGCTCTGGAAGATGCACCATTAAAAGGTTTGGAAGACACAAAGCTGGTACAGGTGGTACTTAAAGAGGAAAGTGAATCTAAGTTTGAATCAGAAAGTAAAGAAGTAAGTCCCCTGACACAAGAAGGGGCTCCAGAGGATGTGCCAGACGGAGGGCAGATAAGCAAAAGCTTTGGGAAAGTATACAGGATGGTCAAGGAGAAAGTGAAAAGCCCCAAAGAGCCTGAGACCCCCACTGAGCTCTACACCAAAGAGCGGCACGTGGTGGTCACAGGGGATGCCAATTACGTGGACCCTAGGTTCTGTGTCTACCCCGTCACAGCCAAAGGTGGGGTGGCTGTTTCCATCGCGGAAGACTCTGTGCTTTATGATGGCCAGTTGGAGCCCTCTCCTGAGTCACCTAAGCCCCCTTTAGAGAATGGGCAGGTGGGTCTGCAGGAGAAAGAAGATAGACAGCCAATTGACCAGCAGCCTACAGACAAGGAGATTGAGCCAGATGGCAAAGAGCTGGAAGTCCCTGAGGAGAAACGTGAGGGTGAGGAGCAGGACGAGGGGACTGGGAGACCCTGTCCCGTGGTCACACCCGGTGCAGAGGAACCGTCTATACCCCAGCCTCCAAAGCCTGTGGCTGATCAGGATGGAGCCGAGGGGCTTGGGACTAGGGGCAGAAGCCTGCCAGAAAAAGGCCCTCCCAGGGCTTTGGCCTATAAGACAGTAGAAGTGGTGGAATCTATCGAGAAGATTTCCACAGAGAGCATTCAGACATATGAAGAAACTGCTGTGATTGTGGAGACCATGATTGGAAAGACAAAGTCAGACAAGAAGAAATCAGGAGAGAAGAGCTCTTAAAATGCCCAGGCTTAATGGGAGAAAATGTCTTTGGGGCCACTGTAGGGGTAATGCTTTGATATTTTAGAGCAAATGATAAAAGGGTGAGGGTTCCTGTTTGGATTAGACCATAGGTGACCCATCTGGCATTGCCAATGAAGCCTTCATTAAAATGTTTTCTTTGCTTGCACATCCTTTGTCTAATTAATAGGGACCTTGGGAATGTAGGTGGGTCAGCTTCATGAGGACAAGGATGCTCTGTTGAATGGCCACCACACCATCCTCATTTAGGAGAGAGACATGCTCTTCATCCTGGTTCATAGTCTCATTAGAGACTCAGATAGCATCTGAGTCTGGATGCTGGATTTTCTGGATTTCACACAGAAACATGCTGGTTGATGACATCGACTCATCTTCATTCCACTTCAAGCACAAATGCATGCTTATGTGGATGAGTGTTTTCCTAGAGATGAAATTATTAAAGGCATCTCTGTTAGCGTGGATTCCCCCAGAAGCTGATCCCAAAGCAGAGAAGGTGAAGTTTCATTGGAATATGAATTTAGGATGCACAAATAGGACAGTGGAGAAGGCAGGGAAGAGAAGTGAACCAATAAGGTGCACGTTACCAAATCAGCTTACACCAGGGGCCACTGAGGAGCTCTGGGAGACAGCGTAGATCATGTGCCTCAGAGTCAGCCTCCCTGAGGGGTGAGGGAGCTGGGGTATTAATACACCAGCTCCTGGCAGTCAGTGGGAGGTGTGCTCTCTGGGGGCCAAGAAAGCTGTCAGGCAAAGACGTCTAGGTGCTGGCATTAGGAAGTCAGGTCTGGAAATATATGGAAGTACTAAGGGTCGAGGGGTCATGGGCAGGGTACCAATGTCATCTGCCACCATATGTGTACCAAATGTACTTGGTATGAGATACTTAAAATTTTCTCACTCAGAGATTACAATCCCAGGTCAGGTTTCAAGAAGCAAAGTCAAGTGTCACTGTGTAAGTTCCTTGTTTAGAAATGAGTTAATTAGTCCAGCAAGCATTTATTGAACATGTACTATGTGCCTGACAGTGTGCTGTGCCATTAAGGGGTGATTTTTCAGACTTATCAGTGCTCTCAGTTAACATAATATAGCAGTGGCCATGTAAGTGTGCATGTTCTTGCGTGTGCACAAACACACACGCACACAGGTACTTACTGTGTCACATACTAAGACACAGAAATTACTCAAAACCAGAATCTTTACACAAATTTCTATGTTGCCCTCCAGTATCTATCTTTCTACTCGCAGTCCAAAAATACGCCAATTTAAAAAATTCTCCTCCCTGTGTAGCTTCTCCAAAGTACATTAAGTGAACTGAGTAAATGTGTTTAAATGGGTTGTAGTATCGGCCTACAAAAAGCATCTGGTAAGACAACTACACATTATTAGAGGAAATTGACAGAGTCACAAATTACATTCTGTTATTTCTTGGTTACAAATAATTGAATACTAAATGGAGTCACCTTTCCTTTCTATTTAAAACTTTAAACAATCTTGTTCCGAATTCATTTGAGGTTTGGATTTCAAGAAAGAATTAGGCTTTTGTTGTTTTTTCTAAAAGATGAATGGGAAACCCATGCCACTGAGTTTTGAAATATTTATAACTTAAAAGCTTAAGGGAGCATGATGGAAACCATTAGCTGGAGCCCAGGATGTACTGGGCTTTGGGCCTGTGTGTCTATTGTCCTTAGCTTTAACAGTCACTGCAGAGCCTTTCTTTTCCTCCTTGGGTCTTTTTATTTTCTGAACTATGTGTTCAGTTCATATTATTTTAAAAGGCAGGGCGTATTGCTTTGGAAAGAAAGGTCATTTTTATATTATATTCAATCAGTCAAGAAAAATGGATTGGGATCTGTTCTGTGCCAGGCATGGTCCTGGTCACTGCAAGACACCAAGGAAGGGTGGGACATGGTCCTGCTCTCACAGATGTGATATTCTAGTAGGGGAGGAAGGAAACGCCATGCAAGCAGGTAGCGAAGAGAAAGTCAGAGACTGTACCATGAAGGGACTCAACTAGTGTGACCTGCTAGAATGACTGGGGGTCTAGTTTGGATTGGGTGGTAAGGGAAGACCCTGTGAAGGGGTGACGTGGGACCTGAATGACAACACGGGGCATCACATACAGAGCAGAGAGTAGAGCATTTCAGGCAGAGAGAGCTGCAAGTGTAAAGGCCCTGGGGCAGGAGTGAACTTGGCCTATTCAAGGAGATGCAAAGGGGACTGCAGGGGGACAATGGAAGGAGGTGAGGTGAGGGTGGGAGGCAGGGACCAGGTAAGCACCATTTCCTGGCAGATGCACCTTGGCCTGAAGGTTGAGCCCGTGCTGTGAAATGTGGGGCTGGCTGCAGTGCACACTTTGGGGCCTACTCGGGCTCTGGAGGTGCAGGGGTCCCAGGGATGTGACTCACTTGCTCATTTTCTTGACACTCGACTGTCCCAGTCTGGTTCTGTTTTCTCCTGTAGAGCTGCAGAATGGGTTCATTTCTGGGCTTTCTCTCTCTCCAGGGTCTCTGAAACACACACGAAATCTTTGGCTTCATAAAGAATTTCTTGTTAGTAACGTGGAGTCAGAGCAGGCCTCCTGACAGCATCCATGGCAGGGTCTCCATCTCCTCTTCCCTGAGGCAGCTTCGGGTCTGTTGGGAGCAAGACTCTCCCAGAGCTGCCTGCTCCGTGCAGCAGCTGCGTGGTAGCCCCTGTCCCACTCATCTTCCCAGCACTTGAGTCAGGGACCCATCATTGCTGTTGTATCCGCCACCCGGGGTGTCTCGCCAGATGCCCCAACTCTCCCTGTTCCGGTTCGTGATTGCACTCAAGCTTCTCACGGCAGGCACATGTGACTCTGCCTTAGAGTTTCATGTGGCCACAGGCACATGCGTGGTCCATACACTGGGTGGATTGGTTGTCCTGGGGAGTTCATGCTCCTGGGAGCAGCCCTCAATCAAGGGTGGACAGGACCTGGAGGAGCAGGTCTCTCTCTCCCCAGCCCTCTCACTCCGCTGTTAGGGTAACTTTTAGGCATATTCTACGTAGTCTCTCCGAGCTTTTAGGCATATTGTACGTAGTCTCTTGGAGCTCCCAAGTGGGTTTGAGCCTCAGATGCATATGAAGAAATGCACTTATCAGTGCCTCCGGTATTGGCCTCCTCCTTTTCCTGTCTCACTTTCCTTCTCCTCAATATATAGATGCTTCCTTTCACATAAATGACTTGCCCTTCACTCCTTGTCTCAGGGTTGTCTTCTGGGAGGACCCAACTTAAGACAGCAGGTTAACATCTGCCACTCCCACCTCCCCGTCCCTCAAGCCACAGCCCTGATTTTGTATTGAGTAGCTGCTCCTCCCACACTGGATACAGCCCTAATGTATCAAGATATTCTGCCTTCCTCTGGCCTCAGGGTGGGCCAGTGACCCAGACCAGCCCAATCAGATTCACCCTCAATGAAATTAGAAATCTGAGTCCAGTGTAGCTCAGGCTGCAAGTGCTGGCACTTGCCCCCTGGCGGGGGTGTTCTGGCAAGGTCACCTGCCAATCCTTGCTGTGTTTCTGGGTCCCCAGCCTTGCTCCAATCACTGTCTTTTTTTTCTGGGATGGTGTTGGCTGGTTCTTCAGGCCCGAGGGCTACGCCACATGTTTTTGACATACTGCTTACTTGTTTCCACTAGTTAGAGTTGGTTTTCTTTGCTTGTAACCCCAAAGATCCCAAAGATAACTGCTAATTAATAAGGTTTGGTATCAACAGATAAGGAGGTTTGGATTAAGTTGGGTTGCCCCCAAAGCAGACCCTGAGAAAGGTCTTGGGTGCAGGCGGTTGGTTAGGGTGGTGTTGAAGGAAGGGTAGTAAGCTCCTGTCTCTTGCTTCAAACCTGCCCCTCTCTACCCAGTGGTGCTGGGGCTGGGACTCTGCAGCCAGGTCCTGCTTAGCCAGCTGCTCCCTGGGAGGTGCTGTTAGAGGGGAGCTGCGCGAAGACTGAAAGTCTTGAGGAAGGAAAAGGCACTCACTCCCTTTTGTTTGCTTTCTGCTCTTGTCCACACCACCCCAGCAATCCTTCTATGGTCTGAATGTTTACGTCCCCTGCAAATTCATATGTTGAAGCCCTTACCCCAAGGTGAAGGTATTAGGAAGTGGGGCCTTTGGGAGACTAGGTCATAGGGCACAGCCCTCATGAACCAGATTAGTGCCCTTATGAAAGAGACCCCAGAGACCCCCTCATCCCTTCTAGCATGTGAGTTCGGAGTGAGGAGGTGCCATATATGAACGAGGAAGTGGGCCTTTGCCAGACACTGAACTTGTTGGCGCCTTGATCTTGGATCTCCCAGCCTCCAGAACAGTGAGAAATAAATTTGTGTTGTTTATAAGGTACCCAGTCTATGACATTCTGTTACAAACGGACTGAGACAGCTTCTTCACCCTGGTAGTGGCAGTTCCTTCCTGTAGCAGCAGCTGAATCCAGTTCTGCAGTTTCCCAGCATTTGCAGGACTGGCCTCATCGCAGTCTCTGCAGAGATACCTGCTCTAGCCTGCTGATGCCCCTCCTTGGTCTGGCTCCCAGCACACTCCCACCTCTGAGACTTTCAAGTTGTATTAATTCCAACCTCTCCCCTTAGGTGGTAGCTAGCTGCTTCTTGAAGTTCTGCTGACTAGAAGAGACCCACTAGGCACTTGTATTCCATAACCAGCCCCATACCACCTGCTGGGCTTCTCCCTAAGGCCCGTAAGCGTTGGTTTTACGAGAAAATATCTGCATGGGTTTCCATGAGAGAGTGCCGGTGGTCCCGAGGGAAACCTTGGTGTGAACCAGCTGCTGGGTGGTTTCTCTAGTCTTTTGCCCTCATGCACCTGTACCCAGGTCAGATGACCGATTTGTATATCGGGACCACTACAGACCTCCACCTGAGTTTCCTCTGGCTTCACTCTGCCAGGTCCAACTCACCATCTTTCAGGTCCTAACATGTGCCCTTGTGCTCCACCTCCAGGCACTGTGGGTGGGTGAGGTAGGCTGGGGTGCCACGGATGCTTTAGGATCCTGCCTGGGCCAGGAGGGCATCTTCATTGTGTGAGCCCCCAGCTCCCACAAATGTTGGACTTTTTGGTCCATGTGATACTTGTGTTTGCTTTTTGAATTGACTAGGTAACAATTCATTATGCTAAT